CTGCCAGTTCGGACCACAAGGCGGCTGAAAAATGTGTGCATGAATTCCAGGAGTACATAGAGGCTGAAACCTGAACAAGTGTTCAATTGTGACGAAACAGGCCTCTTTTGGAAGAAAATGCCAAAGAGGACCTTCATTACACAAGAGAAAAAGGCAATGCCAGGACAAAAGCCTATGAAAGACAGGCTGACGCTAATGTTCTGTGCTAATGCTAGTGGGGATTTCAAAGTGAAGCCATTACTAGTGTACCATTCTGAAAATCCCAGTGTGTTCAGGAAAAACAATGTTACGAAGAGAAAATTGTGTGTGTTTTGGAAATCTAATAGTAAGGCATGGGTCACGAGGGAAATTTTCGTCGAGTGGTCTAATGAAGTGTTTGGCCCTAGTGTGAAGGAGTATCTCCTGGAAAAGAAATTAGATCTCAAGTACCTGCTAGTAATGGACAATGCACCTGCTCATCCTCCAAACTTGGATGACCTAATTTTCGAGGAGTTTGGGTTCATCACAGTAAAGTTCTTGCCCACGAATACCACTCCTCTCCTCCAACCCATGGACCAGCAGGTTATTGCAAACTTTAAAAAACTCTACACAAAAGCAATGTTTCACAGGTGCTTGACTGTGACCACAGACACTCACTTGACCCTAAGGGAATTTTGGAGAGAACACTTCAGCATCCTCCACTGCATAACCCTTATAGGTATGGCTTGGGAGGGAGTGACTACCAGGACTTTGAACTCTGCCTGGAAAAAATTGTGGCCAGATTGTGTCGACAAGAGGGATTTTGAAGAATTTGGGACTGACCCTAATGAGCCTAAGTCTGTTGTAAAATCAATTGTGGCACTGGGGAGTTCCATGGGGTTGGATGTGAGTTTGGAGGATGTGGAAGAATTGGTGGAAGACCACAATGAAGAGCTCACCACTGAGGAGCTGCAAGAGCTTCAGCAGGATGAGCAACACATCGCAGCTCAGAATCTTGCTGCAGAGGAGGAGGAAGAGAGATGGAAGAAGGTGCCTTCTTCAGAAATTAAAGAGATTTTTACTATGTGGGGTAAGATGGAAAGCTTTATGGAGAAACATCACCCTAACAAGGTTGGCAACATGTACAGTGACAAAGTCTTGGGCCATTTTAGGGAAGTGTTAAAGAGACGCCAGAAACAGAGCTCTCTCCACAGTTATTTTGTGAGACAGGACTCCAGTGACTCTCAAGGTGGTCCTAGTGGCATTAAGAAACAGAGAAGAGAAGCAACCCCAGGAAAGCAAATGGTACCTGAGGTGTTGATGGAAGGGGATTTCCCTTCCAAACTATAAACAATCCACTCTCTCTCCTCCTCCAGTCTCCCATACACTAAGAAGAATCTCCAATAAAGGTAAGTGTTATGCTGTTAATGTTTCATTCATCATTTCCCATTGTATTGTTTATGTACTACATGTATATTTCATGTTAAATTTTTTTTTGTTTTAATACTTCTGGGAGTCAGAAACGGATTAATTGTATTTACATTATTTCTTATGGGGAAAACTGATTTGTAAATCGTAAATTTCGTTTAAAGTAACGGCTCCAGGAACGGATTAATTACGAAAAACGAGGGACCACTGTATTTTCGTATGTATTTATTGTTGTACAGTGGACCCCCGCATACCGTTGGCATCACATAACGTTTAATCCGCATACAGATACATTTTATCGCTAAAATTTTGCCTCACATACCGCTTAAAAACCCGCTCACCGCTGTTTGTCCGAGACGCATCCAATGTGCGCCTTAGCCAGCCTCACATGTTCCGCCGGTGGCATTGTTTACCAGCCAGCCTCCGCGGTAGCATCCAAGCATACAATCGTAACATTTCGTATTATTACAGTGTTTTTGGTGATTTTATCTGGAAAATAAGTGACCATGGGCCCCAAGAAAGCTTCTAGTGCCAACCCTACAGCAATAAGGGTGAGAATTACTATAGAGATGAAGAAAAAGATCATTGATAAGTATGAAAGTGGAGTGCGTGTCTCCGAGCTGGCCAGGTTGTATAATAAACCCCAATCAACCATCGCTACTATTGGTGGTACAGCTGCTGCTGCTGCTGTAGCATCGTCTGCTGCTGCTGTAGCATCGTCTGCTGCTGCTGCTGCTGTAGCATCGTCTGCTGCTGCTGTAGCATCGTCTGCTGCTGCTGTAGCACTGTCAGCTGCTGCTGCTGCTGTAGCATCGTCTGCTGCTGCTGCTGCTGTAGCATCGTCTGCTGCTGCTGCTGCTGTAGCATCGTCTGCTGCTGCTGTAGCACTGTCAGCTGCTGCTGCTGCTGTAGCATCGTCTGCTGCTGCTGCTGCTGTAGCATCGTCTGCTGCTGCTGTAGCATCGTCTGCTGCTGCTGCTGCTGTAGCATCGTCTGCTGCTGCTGTAGCACTGTTGTTGGTGTGGCTTATTGAGAATATACCAAGAAACAATTAACCCCAGAGGATTTGCCACCCAGGATAACCCAAAAAAGTCAGTGTCATCGAAGACTGTCTAACTTATTTCCATTGGGGTCCTTAATCTTGTCTCCCAGGATGCAACCCACACCAGTCGACTAACACCCAGGTGAACAGGGAAAAATGCCTGGAACTAGTGCTCATATTGGTGAATTTAAAGCCAGCAAAGGTTTGCGAGATTTAAGAATCGTAGTGACATACACAGTGTGATAAGGCCTGTTCTGGAAGAAAATACCAAACAGGACCTACAGTACTCAGGAGGAAAAGGCACTCCCAGGACACAGTGTCTCATCAGTCATTGCTGCATCTTCAATAAAGGTAAGTGTCATTTATTCTTCATTTAGTAGACTAGTACATGCACAATATATATTGTGCATGTACTACTCTACTATTGTGCATGTATCCTTCTCTTTGTGTGTAGGAAAATGTATATTTCACGTGGTAAAAATTTTTTTTTCATACTTTTGGGTGTCTTGCACGGATTAATTTGATTTCCATTATTTCTTATGGGGAAAATTCATTCGCATACCGATTATTTCGCATACCAATGAGCCCTCTTGCATGGATTAAAATCGGTATGCGGGGGTCCACTGTATTCTAGTTTTCCTGGTTTCATTGTATAGAATGGAAGACATATTACAGAAATTGAGATGATTTTGACTGGTTTTACAATGAAAAGTACCTTGAAATTGAGCTCAAAGTAGCAGAAATGTTTGATTGTTACCAAAGTTCAAAAGTAAACAAATCATGCTAAGCGTCCAATACACGTCAACTGGTGAGTCCAATATTCTTTCACAAGTGTGCTGATATTATTTATACCATTTCTATACTAATGCAGTAGTCTGCATAACAGTAAATCTTATTTTTTTTGTGAGAATAAAAATTTGAAGTGGAAAGCAAAAAAAAAATGTAAGAGGGGGGCTGGGGATGTGACTAATGAACAGAGGAAATGTTATTTTAGTGCCATGAATGTCTTTCTTGTTTATTCTGGACCCTATTTGGAAATTGGCATCTTTTGAAATTTGTGTGAAATTGGTAAAATTGCTAAATTCTGACCACTGTATTGGATAGTTGAAATCGGTAAACTGGTGGTTTCTTGTACTCATTCGATAGAAAAAAATGGAGTTCTAGCGAAATAGTTATGATTTTTGTTGACTGGTTCATTGGAATTGGCTGAAAATAGGGCTCAAAGTGGGCAAAATCGCCGATGTGTAAACATCGTCGAGACCGCTAACTTCACGAGAGCATAATTCCGTAAGTTTTCCATCAAATTTCATACTTTTGGTGTCATTATGATTGGGAAAAGATTCTCTACCTTTTCATAAGAAAAATATTTTTTTTTTTTTTTTGAAATTTGGGGGACCCTAAGAACAAGTCTCTGAGAGGGCCTGTGGACCCTGAAAGGGTTAAGGGTTAAAGTGCAGGCATTGTACTTACCACCTCCAGGACACAAGTCAGGTTAACCAGTTTCCTTGAATACCTTCACAAAATATTACCTTGCTCACACTCCAACAGCTCATCAGGTCCCCAAAACCATTTGTCTTCATGCTAGCTTTTATTTGAGAAATAAATTATTTTTTATTTATGAACACACTGGCCGTCTCCCACCACGACAGGGTGGCGCGAAAAAGAAAAACTTTCATCATTCACTCCATCACTGTCTTACCAGAGGTGCATTTACACTACAGTTATAAAACTGCAACATTAACATCCCTCCTTCAGAGTGCAGGCACTGTACTTCCCATCTTCAGGACTCAAGCCCAGCCTCTCGATTTCCCTGAATCCCTTCATGTTACCTTGCTCACACTCCAACAGCACATCAAGTCCTAAAAACCATCTGTCTCCATTCGCTCCTATCTACCATCCTCACGCATGCTTGCTGGAAGTCCAAGCCCCTAGCACACAAAATCTCCTTTACCCTCTCCCACCAACCTTTCCTAGGCTGACCCCTACCCCGCCATCCCTCCACTACAGATTTATACTCTCGAAGTCATTCTATTTTGCTCCAACCTCTCTACATGTCCGAACCACTTCAATAACCCCTCCTCAGCCCTCTCCTAATCCTGCACCTCCTCCTAATTTCCAAATTACGGATTCTCTGCATTATATTCACACTACACACACTGCCCTCAGACATGCCATCACTGCGTCCAGCCTTCTCCTTGTTGCAACACTCACCACCCATGCTTCACACTCATACAAGAGCATTGGTGTAACTATATTCTCATACATTTCCCTCTTTGTTTCTATATGCTTGTTTATAGTGTTAGATTAGTTGTTACTTTGAATTTGCAGTAAACCTAATATACCAAGAAAGTGGTGTGTTTGTATGTGTGTGTGGGGGGAAAGGCGTGCTAGCTAGGGATGTGGCCTGGGAGCCAAGGGGGCAGTAACCTGAAAAAGTTTGGGAACTACTGGTCTAAGGTAATGTAGGTAAGGAAATAAATTTTACTCTATAACAAAGAAAATTTTTTAATACTCTCCGAGAAACTCTTAGTTGATTTTATATTTAGCAGACATAAATCTTAAAATTTCTTACCCATAAAAATTTGTAGTTGAATGCTGAATATTTGTACTGATCACAGGTCCAGATGTTCCCATCATCCCTGGCTGAAGTGCTGCAAAGTCAGGGTGATCCTTCAGCCACTCCTTAAGCTGACCAAGTGTTGGGGCTTCTCCACCTGGCATGGTTTATGCAAAAATTTTGTATAAATAAACTGGAGAAATATTTTTTTTAAACATACCAGCCATCTGTCACTAAGGCACAGTGGCATGAAAAAAAAAGCACTTTCACCATCACTCATTCAATCACTTTCTTGTTGGAAGTATGCTGACATCAGAGCTCAGATGGCCCTCTGACCTGCAACATCCCTGACCTCTCCTTCAAAGTGCACGCACTATACTCTCACCCCCTAAAAGTCAAGTCCAGTTAACTGATTTTCATGAATCCATGCTTACACTCCAACAGCACATCAAACCACAAAAATTACTTGTTTTCACTCCTGTATAATGCACTCACACAAACCTAATGAATGTCCAAGCCCCTAACACTCAAAACCTCCTTAACCCCCTTGGTTGGTATTATGTTCTGGAACATTTCCCCTTTTTGCCTCCTTGGGTAAAGTTCTTTGTCTCCACATGTGACTCAATACACCACCCACCTTTTTTCTTTGTCAATTCTATGTTTTGCCTCATCTTTCAAAGAACCATCTACTGACAAGTCCACTCTCACACTTCCAACCACATTTACTTCTTCTGTACTCCTTCCCTCCAATAAGATACAGAAATTTTCATTGCCTAGAATTTGTTACACTCATCATGTTGCTCTTGACAATGTTCACTTTTAATTTCCTTCTTTTACACACCTTCCCGCCAACCTTTGCAACTTCTTTTCAAAATCTCCCAAAAGAACCATGTCATCAGCAAAAAAAGGAAAGGTGACAACTTCCACCTTGTATCAAATTTATTATTTTTTAATCCCACATCTCTTTCTAACATCTTAATGCTCACTTTTATATGTTAAACAACTATGGTGATATCGCATCCCTCGCTAAGGCCTACTATTTTTTTTTTCTTTGTATTGACACATCAGCCGTTTCCCACCAAGGCAGGGTGGCCCGAAAAAGAAAAGCTTCCATCATCATTCACTCCATCACTGTCTTGCCCAGAGGCATGCTTACACTACAGTTATAAAACTGCATCATTAACACCCCTCCTTCAGAGTGCTGGCACTGTACTTCCCATCTCCAGGAATCAAGTCTGGCCCGCCGTTTTCCCTGAAACCAGCCTGACCAGCCTACTGTTACGAGAAAATAATCCTTTCCCCCCCCTCTCCTATATACCCTTACATGAGCTTCACTATCCATATAAAATCTCAAATCACCTAACAGGTGGGGTTCAAACCCATGTCAGGCGAGTCCTGAAATTCACAGGCCAATGTGCTAACCACTGGGTCAAATGACTCCAATAGGATTTAGCAATCTAGGTATATTTCTATACACTATAGGGAGGTTAGCATGGGCACTACTGTGGCCACAAATACTAAACCAACATGGCTGTACTCTAGCTTAAGTCCCTTCAAAACTGACATCATGACCATGATTTGTTTGCAATCGTGTTATTATAATTTTGTGAGTCACAATGATAAATTTGAAGGGACTGGAGCTAGAGCACTCCACAGCCATGCAGTTGTACGATTCCTCTGTGGTCACAGTGGGGCCCATGCCAACTTCCCTATGGTGTATAAAAATATACCTAGTTGGATGAATTTTATTATGGCCAGCTGGCCCAGTAGTTAGTGAACTGGCATGGGAATTTTAGCACTCACCTTCCATGGCTTCAAGCCTCAACCATTGTGATTTGTTTGCAACTGTATTATGACGATTTTGTAACACACAAAACCTATTCACTAGGTTTAGTAACTTACCACTTATTCCATACATTTGCAACATCTGCCACAATGCTCCCTATTCACCATATAATATGCCTTTTCTAAATCCATAAAAATTCAACAAAAAGTTTCTAACCTTTAACTAAGTATTGTTCACTTATGTTCCAATATAAACACTTGGTCTACACATCCCCTACCCTTCCTAAAAACTCCTTGTTCCTCTTCAATCATTTTTTCTGTCTTACCCTTAATCTTCCAATAATAACTATCATACACTTTATCCACTATACTCAACAGGCTTATAAGAACATAAGAAAGAAGGAGCACTACACCAGGCCTACTGATCCAAGCTAGGCATGTCAAAGTCACCTACTGGCGTAAGCTACTGGCCTAAGTTAAGGTTCAAATCACATCCACTTAAGAAGGAAGGAGCACTGCACCAGACCTATAATTCTTATACCCTACGTTACTTTCATGCATATTTATTTATTTATTTAATGTCTTTGCAAACAGTACATTGAGATTTTGTATTTACAATAGTGGGTTGCAATGCAAAGAGAGCCTCTATTATGCCTAGGCATTATGGGCCAACTTAACATTATTGGCTTACAGTCTACTTAACACTAAGGATAGTAATTATTTCATAGTTGTACAGTAGAATATTAATTATAAATGAATCAAAATTTGTATAAAACGAAGATATATTTATATTCGAAAATGCTTTTTGTGAAAACAATGATTCAATTATATTCCTGTCAACAATGGATAAAAGGTTCAAAGTGATCATTTCAGATATGATGTGGGAGTACAGAGGTGAGTAAGTGTGTACTGAGTATTTAGCATTTAGTATAGGGTGATTAAGTGGCTTTTGAGAAGAGTCTTAAATTGATTTACAAACTGGGTTACTTTAATAACTTCTGGTATTGAATCCCATATTTTGGGGCCCTTTATGTGCATAGAGTTTTTACACAGTGTGATATGGACACGAAGTATATCAAAAAGAGATCTGTGTCTTGTGTTGTGGTCATGTGTCCTGTTTAGGTTGGTGAGGAGAAGTTTGAGTGGAGGGTTTATGTTTGCGTGTATTGTTCTGTGTATGTAGTAGGCACATGAATAAGTATGGATGTTCTTAGTGGTGAGCAGATTCAAACTTTTGAAAATTGGTGGAGTATGCTGGCGGGAGTGGGAATTTATCATCATTCTTACTGCTGCCTTTTGCTGGGTTATTAGGGGTTTTAGGTGATTTGATGTTGTTGATCCCCATGCACAAATTCCATATGTAAGATAAGGGTATATGAGTGAATGGTACAGTGCCAGGAGAGCTGATTGTGGAACGTAGTACCTTATCTTTGATAGTATGCCTACAGTCTTGGAGATTTTCTTGGTGATTTGTTGTATGTGTGTCCTGAACTTAAGGCTACTGTCAAGGTGGATACCTAGGAATTTTCCCTCTGTAAGTCTTGTGACTGATGATCCATTTAGCGTTATGTTAATTGGATCATTTGCAGCTTTGTTTCCAAACTGAATGAAATAGGTTTTATTAGTGCTCAGGGTAAGTTTGTTAGTCATCATCCAGGCAGATATTTTCTGTAATTCAACACAGACTGTATTTGCAAGTATGACTGTGTTTGGGTGGGAAAATACATATGTAGTGTCATCTGCAAATAATATGGGTTCGAGTAGCTGTGATGCATTCAGTAGATCATTGATGTAGATGAGAAAGAGGAGTGGTCCAAGGACGCTTCCTTGTGGGACTCCTACTGTGATTGGTTGGGTGGAAGAGTTTGCATCATTTGCATACACATATTGAGTTCTGTTACTAAGGTATGACTTTAGGTAGTTGAGGGAGTGGCCTCTGATACCATAGTGCATTAATTTGGAGTGCAGTAGTTCATGGTCGACTGTATCGAAAGCTTTACATAAATCAATGAAAATGCCCAGCGGGACTTCTTTCTTTTTAAGTGCGGTATATATTAGTTCTAGCATGTGTATGATAGCATCATTTGTGCTTTTATTATTCCTGAATCCAAACTGACAAGGGTTTAATATGTTGTGTGAAGCGTGGTAGGAATAGATCCGTCTATGAATTAATTTTTCAAAGATTTTAGAGAGCAGTGGTAAGTTAGATACTGGTCTATAGTTATTCAAATCAGCTTGGTCACCTCCTTTATGGATAGGAGTGACCCTCGCTATTTTGAGGATTGTTGGGAAGGTAGATGATTCAATGGATTTGTTAAAGAGCGTTGCAATAATTGGTGACAATACTTGAGAAGCTTTTTTGTACATAAAAGCAGGCAAGTTGTTTATGTCTCCTGCCTTGTTTTTAAGGGTGTTTATGATGAGCGTAACTTCAATGTGGTTGGTTGGAGCTAGGAATAGCGTATTTGGGGAGGTACCTATGAGGTAGTCTGATGGACGGGTGTTTGTGCTTGGTATTTTGTTTGCTAGATTTTTTCCTATGGTGGAGAAGAAAACATTAAGTCTGTTTGCTGTTTCGGTTGGAGTGAGTAGGGGTTCACCTGATTTTGTTAGTTTGATTGTTTTGTTTTTGGATAACTTCTTAGTTCCAAGAACTTCAGATAGAGTTTTCCAGGTTTTTTTTCATATCACCTTTGATGTTATGTAATCTATTTTCATAATACAATTTTATTGACCTTCTTATCAGGCTGGTAAGTGCTGACGAGTAACTTTGCGACTGTTCTCTAGTTATTTGATCCATTCTATATTGTTTTTCATATTTGTGCTTTGTGTTAATGGATTTCAGGATGCTTGTTGTTAGCCAGGGATTATTCAGTCTCTTTGCTGTGATCTGTTTAGTTTTTCTGGGGTAGTGTCTGTTATAGAGGCATTGGGCTTTTTTTAGAAAATTATTTATACATTCATTCATATCTGTATATGTTTCGAGCTCATTTTGCCAATCGATGTTATTCATAGCTGCTATAAAGTTGTTAACTGCTGTCTCGTTATGTAGTCTGAAGGTTACTTTAGTAATGCCTTGTGGCAGTTTGCCCTGATTAGTTATGAGAAAGGTTGGGTAGTGGTCTGTAGTGTTGTCTGTGATTATGCTTGATTTTAAAGGGGATATGGTGTTTGTCCAGATTAAGGAGATGCTTGTCTCGGAGATTCTTGTAGGTTTAGATATTGCTGGTAGCAACAGGCAGTTACTCATTGTGTTTGTGAATTCGGTTACTTGTGGGTTCTGGTCATGTAGTATGTTTATGTTGAAATCTCCTGTTAGTAGTAGGTGGTCTTTATTCATGTCTGCATCAGTAATCATGTTTCCTAGTTTTT